ACTACAGACGAACAATCATTCGACGAACAGACGGGAACAACGAAGACATTGTTGAACATACCATGACTTGAGCAAGCGCGAACAACGACGAGTGATACAAGGAGACACATGGACAGGAGAAACATGGTTCAGAGTGAACAAGCCGCCAGCGCAACCGGCAACTACAACAGCGAAGACAACAGAGCAGACAGAGATAGCGCCACAGGCACAACCAGCGCGACGCCAATCCACAACACTACGGCTCCCGGAACAAGACGGGGCAACGCAGCAGGTAAGCAGAGAGCCACTGTACAGACACACAACGAAGAAGCCAGCGCCAACAACTACGGCAGTACCTGATCCATCCACAATGACACCAACAACAGACTATTGGATCAGAGAAGGACACTATTGGAAACCAGTTCACGTACAGGTACGGACGACAATGTACGTACCACAACAAACAGACGATGGTCCAGACATTGGATGACTCAAACCGACACGGACAACATTCGTGAACAGAACAGAACAAGGAAGAGGATACACAATCCATGACAATTGTCACGAATCAGGAGCAAGGCAGCTTGACAGACAATGGACTGGATCAACAAACTTCGAGGAAGAAGCGACGTACAAGTACGAGTACGACGCGGACAATGAAGATGAATCTCAACAAGCACAACGCGCCAAAGGAATGAAGGCGCCACAGCGACCAACAAGACAAGAAAGACTAGAACATGAACTGACACATTTACCATACCGCTCATGGTGTCCAATATGTGTCAAGAGCAAAGGAAGAACAGACAATCATCCAAAACAAGCAAGCAAACAACCAGTGATACAAGTGGACTTCACCTTCATGAAAGCATTTGGAGACAAACAAGTACTACCAGTACTGACAGCAATAGATGTCGAATCAGGCATGGCAATGGCAGTTCTTGTACAAGACAAGAACCAACAGCAACAATACCTGACACGATGTCTACAAACATTCATGTTTGAGTGTGGACGAGCGCAAGCAACACTATCTACCACAACACTACAATCAGACCAAGAAGAATACATACAGAACCGACTGAAGGCCGTCGCACAAAAGCTCGGAAACAACGTCAACATCCGACAATCACCGGCATACTCGTCGCAATCACAAGGAAGCATTGAACGATTCCATCGCGCCTTGATGGGACAAGTCCGAGCATTGGTACAACAAGTGACCGCAAGCTACAACCTCGCATTGAGCGTACAACATCCGATCATGCCGTGGATTGTACGGCATGCAGCCTGGCTACTGAACAGGTATGCCATGCGCAAGGACGGACAAACAAGTTACCAAAGACGATGGCAGAAGGACCACAAAGCACCACTATGCGAGATGGCCGAAACAGTACAATACATGATACCAACAACAAAAGCACAACCCAAGATGGAGCCAAGATTCTTCAAAGGAATCTGGCTTGGCAGAGACACAATGACTGGAGAGTCAATAGTTGGCATCCCTGGCAAGGTCATTAGAGCAAGAACAATGCGAAGACAGATCACGCCAGACAAGTACGACAAGCAACTATTGGATACTATCAACGTGTATCCATGGAACTTGCCAACAACACCAATGGCAATTCCACCACAACTGCTTTTACCAGCTGACAACACCGCAAGCAGACAAGCAATTGGAACGCAAGCTGACATCACAGTGGAAGATACAAGCGCGCAGACAGTACAAGAGACACCGCTGGCACTACCAGCGCGAGCAATGCATCATCAGCCAATGGATATGACAATGGCAACATCACCATTGGCAACTTCACCAACAACAATGGCAAGACCACCACTGCCAGTACCACCAGCAAGCAAGCGACAACACGAGGAGCCCACAGGTGAAGCGCAATCCAAACAATCAAGGACAGCGCAGTCCTCAACAGCAGCAAACCGAGGACAAGATGAAGAACAACCAAAAGCAAAGATGAGAATACAAGCAGTGACAATCACGACAAAGAAAGGTGACGCGATCACCACAGCATCCTGTGAAGATGAACAAGAAGCAGACGTGGAAAGGATGCTACAAGAACCCTTCGTCTACGACAATGAAGGTCTTGATCCATTGAAAGTACAACAAGGAATGAAGAAAGAAGCGCAATCAATGAAGACACAAGGAGTGTTCACAGAGATGAGCTACAATGATGTCCCAGAAGAACACAAGAACAAAATCATAGAATCCAAATGGGTCAACAAACCCAAACAGGATGAAGTGCGATGTCGCATAGTAGCAAAGGGCTACTTGGAAACAATCCAAGACCTCGACAACATCTATGCGAGCACACCAATCTTTGGGATCTTACGTATCCTACTGACAATGGCGCAGCACAAGCAGGAGATGTGTCAACAGCATTCCTACACATGCACCAGCGGCGACAGACAATCTTTACACGTGGCCACCGCCAGAACTATAACCAAGTGGTCACAACACAACCACAGTGTGGAAGCTCAAACAACAAATGGGACTATCTCGACTGACAAGTGAACCCAACGTGTACAGGAACAATGAACAGACAATGTTTGTGATGGTCTATGTGGATGACTTACTATTCCTGGGACAACAGCAAGAAGTCGACAAGACTTTCAAAGAAGTACAGAAGCATGTACTACTACGACCAACCGGCACATTGGGAATTGCATGGTCAGACAATCCAATTCCTTGGCAGAGACATCCACAACAATGGAGACTTCTTTGAGGTGAGCCTCAAACCAGAATACATCACTACATTGCTGTAGGAAACAAAAATGGAAGCAAGCAATCCAGCATCAGCTCCAGGGATGGCAACCCTGAAACAATCCACAAACGATGATGCACCTCTAGATGCACAAGAACATGCAGATTACAGGAGAGCAGTAGGAAAGCTTCAATGGCTGACCTACGCAAGACCAGACATCAGCTTTGCAACAAGAGAACTGGCGCGAGACCAACAACCAACACAACAAAGCCTACGCAAGGTGAAGCACCTCCTACGATACCTCAGGGGAAACAACATTACAGAATGATCCTGAGGACAACACATACACCACAGACAAAGGAACCCATCGACCTCAACATTTATGTCGACGCGGACTGGGCAGGATGCCCAAGCGCAAGAAAATCAACAAGTGGATTCGTCGTGACAATGATGGGGTCTGTGGTACAATTTGGAACCAGAACACAAGCAGTAGAATCAGAGCTTTATGCAATTGGCACAGGAGCACAAGAAGGACTACATATAGCAAACTTCATCAAGGAAGCAACAACAACAAAGGTGAACATTCGCACACACACCGACAGCACAAGCGGCAAGAGCATAGCAACAAGAATTGGCTCAAAGCACATTGACCTAAAGTACCTCTTCATACAACAACTGGTGCAAAGCAGGATACTGTCAATACACAAGATCAGCACACATGACAACCCAGCAGACATACTGACAAAGTATGTCCCGGCAGAGGTGCTTAACAAACACCTCTACACGGCGGGCATTCAATGCCCACAACACCACAACTGAACAACGGCCGCGCAAACAGTTTCACAACCATGGCACCGTCTGTGCGTGTACAATACACACACGGGGCATCAAGCCATGGCACACTACTTTAGCTACTATGCGCATACTATGTCATAGACAATATGTACTACAAGATCTTGAGTTTCACAATAAGCCCGGCTTTCTTTTCGTCGTTTCGGAGTACAATTCGATGGACAATGAGTTTGAAGTTTTGCTTTTCTGAATTTGGATGACAATGCATGTTTGGTTGACAATTTGTCAACAATTCCGTTGACCGCAGCCGCTCTCAAGCCCACAAGCTGTGACAATTTGGATCAAATTCCTCGAGAACAATTTCGAAGGCAACGATGGCAGTCGAGATGATGACACTCCCGGACTACCACAATCAGCGAAGGTTGCCGACCAACTCGACAATCTCGCTGTGGGAAGACAGGGCGATCATCTACAATGAAGACAAGATTGAAAGCAAAATCCTGCAGCCTTCGAACTACAAGGACAGCGCATGGGTCGATGTCCTCGACAATGTCACGACTTACTGGTTTGCAGCAGTCACAATGGCAGAGTGTACAATCATGTTGAATGAAAACAACGAGATCGACAAGCTGCTGATTTCCAGCTATGACAATGCCATACGGGCACAACGATGAGAAGGGCAACAAAGCTGGAAAGACAATGGCAGAAAAGATGCTGCTTTGTACAATAATGTTTCTTTTCAGTTTCAACAATGTTTGTAGTGATGGTGTGATTCAACAATGAATCAGACCAAGGGACGGTGTCAAGATACAAGTTCCTTTACAATAGCATACTTACTCCATCGTAGTGTTCATGGTACAATTGCCCGGTGCTCTACAATGCACCTTGGATCGAGGCCTTGAGCCTAAGGACAGTTGCCAAGAGGAAAACAATACAGAGACGTGCGCAAACAAACGACAAACAAACAGCTACTGAATTTTACAAAGAGAGAGAGAGAGTGGGAGAGAGGGAGGGGGGGGGGGGGGGGGGGCGGAGGGCCCGGACGACTCCAACGAGCCTTGAACAAGCTTCGGCCGCTGTGGCCACGTACGCCGCGCCAAAATGGCTGGCAGCTTTGACCGCTACGGTCACGTAAAGGCATAAGCCAGCTTAGAATTCAATACTTCAGCAAGTCTTGGCAAATAACGATGCGGCTGTGCCTATAGGCTTAGCGCAAAACACAACATTTGAGGCCCTCAAACTCCAACCAGAAACCGCACGCGTTCTCCTATCATTTTGATAACATCCTTGATAACTATAAAGAAACATTATCAAAATCGTAATTCAGAGTGTAATGAATTCATAACAAACTCATAAGAATATGGCGGCGACCTCAAACTCACAAATACACACTCCACATGTATACGATGTATAGCTGGTAAGTGTGCGAAGCGAGATGGCGCTCGTACAGCGAGAAGTCCATTGGATATATCGGATACTGCGTTCCTTCCTGTGTGTGGGTACCACGCGATCCATGCGTAGGCAGATGCTGTGAGCTACTGTACAATGCCATGGGCTTGCTTGTGTGTTCTAAACTGTTGAATGTTTAGGACTTTAGGAAGATGCTATACATGGCAAAACTCTCAGGATTGATGCGTTTGCGCAAAGTGGAGAGTTGCCCGACTCTCAGTTTGGCTTCTTGTCGCCATGAACCCAGATGAGCGATCAATGGTGATGCCACAGTTCTACTGAATGCTGTTTGGAGGCATCGCGCTGAACAATGGCCGCTACCTTGATTCATATAGCGGGGCTGGGAGCTGGGGCAAGTTGACGCCAGCTTTTGCTGAGGCTAGAGAAGATGGAAGAATCTGGACTCCAGGCCGTGGTCTTGCCGTTTGCAGGAAACCTTCCATTCTGTCTGTCAGAGGTTGGTTCTAGCACATATGGTCTCCTCATGAATGCAGTTGCTCAAGGCTTAGCGCTATTGAATTGCCCAGCTGCCGGGTTGATGGTTAGTATGCAACTTTAGCGTTGCATTTTGAACTGAGCTTTCTGATCTGAGGCAAAAATGGGCGACATCAGCAGAGTTGAACGAATCTTCCAGCGTATGGAGCAAGCAAACGTCGAGGCTAGTTTGGTGTATGTAAGGCGTGCTCGCTCCTTTGATCAATGCTGATACGTCCTTGAGGTCAGCGGCTCCACATATAATGCATTGATATCTGCTTGTGCGAGGAAGGCGCACTGCGTTGCAAGGGGTAAGTAGGTGCTGCCTAGAAAAGGAACAAACAAAGGAACGCGCATGTTTAATCTCCCTAGAACTCTATTGTAGAAAACAATTCAATCCTCCAAGGATCTCTTCTGTGTCCCAACTAGTAGCTTCTGCCTACTTGCGGCCTACCCCTCCTCTTGTTGTGTGTATATATATGTTGATTGCTCAGCGTGGACGCCGCCTGGCATCGGTATTGCAGACATGGTTGATTCGCAGGAAGCGCATTGGTGCGGAAAAGGTCGTGGGCGAGCCCTGGTGTGTCCGTCGGATCAGATATTGGTAGCGGAGCCTTGGATTAGCCGGGGCTCCGATTAAGTGGGAACCCACTTGGACCGAGCGTGGACGCCATGTTGAGGTGCTCGTTGGAGTCCACTGGCCTGCGCGCCTTCAGCGGAGACACAGGAGACGCAAAGGAATACAAACGTTGGCAAGCCTGGGTGACGCACACGGCTTGACATTTGGGTGACAAAGCTCCGAACAACATGCAGGGTTCCTATGTGTATACTGTATACCGTATACCTTGTTGTTTGGCAAAGCGCTTGACTGTGTGGAGCACCTGAAGCTTTTTTCATATTAGGATGCGAATGGAGAGAAAGTTTTGTTTGACTGCTTGACTTTTGGATATCGGCTTCCATAGAAGGATCAGTCAGATGAAATGTCGGCGACTCTGGGTTTCTTGAGCCGGGGCTCTTTGACCGGACGCAAGGCAAACAGAAGAGCCAAGTGGTATGGAGTTGCCATCACTGTGTACGGTCCCAGGTTCCATTGGTCGTAATTACATTGTTGGGTCCAACATCAAGCCCCTTGCCCATGTCAAGACCCCGGGTGTAGAACCTCCACAGACGAAACTTCTGGATCGTCCCCGAAGCCCACATATGTGGCCCTCTTCGAAAACGGCCTTGGGTTCGGAACAAAGCTAGAATCTCAGCTCTGTGCTGAGGCCCGCAAATCAAGCAAGAAGATCCAGAAGCCTTTGAGCCTTACAGTGCAAGCGACGTCCTGTGTCCATTTGGGGCTGCCCAAGAGACAACTGAACACTAACCGCTACTGCCCGCCCACATGTCGAAGAACATTTTAGAACCGAGCCTTGCGCTTGCGCCTGCGAAGAAGTCTTGTCCGTGTTTGTGCCTTGCAACCTTGTGGCTGCCTGCGCGGCGCGCAGAAATGTGCTGCCAAAGAAGTCCTGCTGCAGGAACCGACCGGTTCTAGGCTTGTTGGATGGACTGCTCACTGGAAAAGAAAGCTCTCGAAATCGACGCCAAGAAGCATGCAGCCCGGTTGAAATCACGATATCTGGAGCGGTTTAGGGGAAGCAGTTTTGTGAGCGTTTGCAAAGTGGTAGAAGAGTATCTGCAAATATCGACGCCAACGATCTGCCCGCCTTCAGGCTAAAACCTGGAGGGGCCAAAATGTATATTTTACGTTCAAGTGTATTTTTGGGGTTGAGGTGTATTTTTGGCACTTGAGGTGTAGTGTTGGCGCTTGAGATGTATTTTTGGCACTTGAGGTGTATTTTTGGCGCTTGAGGTGTATTGTTAGAAAAGGGCATGCCCCGGGATGTATATTTCAAGGGCGCTGGGATGTATTTTTCATGTTCCAGGGAACTACTGACAAATTTCAGTGGAGTGTACGCACTCAAAAAACAGGTAGAAAACAGATGATGAAGCAAGCGTATTCTTAATAAAATATGCATTACATCATTTGCACCATTTGGGTGGTGTTTGCGCATTGAACTGTTGTGTTTGCACTGCAGCACGTCCCCGCAGACATTTCAGTATACATGCATCCGTGGTAGATCATACACACTCCACTTTAGAAATATAATCAAGCCCTATAGACGCTTCAGATCGATGGCCAGAAATTGGAAAATGAATTTCATAGATAGATACAGGATCATGTAGGAGCTGATATCATCTCAAACATGCATCTCAAGTCCAGACTTCTCTACCAGCACGCCTTTCCTGTGCGCATGGGCTTGCTGGCCTTGGATTTCGAGAGGAGGCTGGGTGAGCTGCGTCTGCTTGAGTCGTGAAGCTTGGCAGGTCATTGGCGATTTCTTGACATGTGTACTGCAAGCCCTCATGGGCTCAAGGCCTGAAGGAAAACATTCCAGAAGGTGTGCGTGGAAACACACTGGCTTACATATGCGCCAAAAAAATGCAGGCCTGAGCCAGCGAAACACTTGCGCATGCCTGGCTTCACACGCGCACACGCACGCAAGACAGCCAAACGCTTTCACACTGGCCATGGCAGACCTCTGGGCAATGATGCGGCTTTTTCACCAGATGACTTATCGCCAGTAGCAAATGGAGACTCATCTGCGGTTGATACTCAATGCATTGTTAGTGCAGATGCATGTGCATGGTGTTGTTCGAGTTTTTCTTGGAAATCTTAGGCGTGGCAGCTTCCAGTCCAAATGCCTCGCCCACAACACATGATGACAGAGCAGCACCGGTTGGTTGTCAGGTTCAACTTCTTTTGAGGAATGGTTCGAGTCATTGGTTTGCAAAATCAAGGGTGGTTCAGCTGCAAGAAACCTGCTTTAGTCCAATGTTTTTGAAAAATACCGAAAAAATGAAAAACCCAAATTAAACGTGCACCCTGACACAAGCATTCAGGACACCCGAGTAGAAAATCGAAAAAGGAAGAGAGAGAAGGAGAAAGGAAGAAGGAAAAACAGAACATATTCCCAGCTAGTTCCACACACACGCCGCCCTCCCACACGGCAGCGGCCAGCGGCCGCAATGTGTTAAGATTCTTTGCAGTCAGGTCTGCCACTAGCCATTCTCGCCCTTGAGACACAGCTCCTGCTTTTAGTTCCCACGATTGCTTGCAGCTATCTAGGGGGAATTGTTTTTTCTCTGCGTATCCACTTGCACCGCCCCCAAACGCCATCGCCACAACACATCACCCACATAACCTTTCTATAAATGTCTTCAAACATTCCGATAAAAATGTATTCCTTTGCTGTTTGAAGCCGTTCCTGCTCACAACATATACCGCAAACTGGTGCACATCAAGAGCGCCCACACATCCTGACATCAGGCGGATTGCAGGTGGGCCAGTTTTTTGGTTTGTCTCCTCATTGCATCTCATGGTTGCCGCAACTTCTGTTGGAGCTGCCTGCAGGGTCCCCGTGGCATTGTCGTGAGATCTCCTGATGCTCCAGCTCAAAGACAGGACAGATTTCTTTTTCGCTTTCAACTTTTCATGGTTGCCAGTGGCATGGCGCATGGCCATGGTAATGCTTCAAGACAGGACAGATTGTTTTTGGGCTTTCAATTTTTCTTTGTTCCTATATCCTCATTGCATCTCATGGTTGCTGCTTCTGTTAGAGTTGATTGCAGGATGAGGCTGGCGTGGTATCGCAACCTAAGGCTGAAGATGCTCCAAGAGACGACAATTTGAGGTTTGTCTTTCAACTGTTCGATTCTTTTGGGCTTGGTTGGTTTGGGTTTACAGCGTTGCTGGGTACTTGCAGGATGGTGGCAGCCGCTGGACTAAAGGCCAGATTGGTCAGTGCAGCATCAAAACTGGACATCAACATTGTTTTAATGACACACCAGTGCTTGGCAGGTATTCGCGCATGACGAGCTGACCAAGGCCTTCAAGAAGGGCCTTTTGTGTCGGTGAGGCCTTTGTGACATAGTGTGAACGCAAAGCCTTCTCATCGCAGGAAGAAGCTGGCCAGATGAGCGATGATGAGGACCATTGGCATCTTGAAGGTCTCATTGCAGTTTTGTTTTTCTTTTGTTTGGGTGTGAGTTCATTGCAGGAAGATGAGCCTGTGCTGTGTCAAGACCCGGTGGACACGGTGCATATTCACGAGGAGGCAATGATAAAGTGCAGGCTGAAGCCGAAGATGCTCCCGCGCAAACCCAAAATCTCAACGCTCAAGAGGGAGCTCAAGAAGATCGGCGACGAGCTTCCTTATGAGATGAAGGTCAACGTGTCCCTCATCGACTTCTACTCCAAGCAGATGGAGACTAGCCTCAGTTCAGTGGCATTGCTTGGACAGGTTCGATTTGTTTTCATCACTCCTTCATTGCTTCACTGCTGATCGATCTGAGGAGGGCCAGGTCAAGGATTTGGTGAGCGCCTCAAGGAAGTTGAAGCAGCTGGTGTTCCAACTCCGGGCCCAATGCATCACCATGCGGCGCCGTTGAGAGAAGAAAAAGTGGAGCGTGAGCGCACGCTTCTAATTTTTGGGGGGCATTGAAAAGCTATTTGAAAAGCACTTGTGCAAGCTGCGCGCAATGCAGGTCCTGGTGCCTGCGATCTTTGACTTGAATCCTTTTTGTGGAAGGCTCAACTTCTGCTTTTGAACTGTCAGCAGCAGAGATGTTTTCACTTGATTGAAGAATTTAAGGCAGCTTCATCCATATCTGCTGAGAGGACCGCTTGTGTGCTATTTCATGCCCAAGCTCACATGGTCATGCAGTTGTGTATATGGAGGCCCTGGTGGTCTTGGCTACGTTGTATTCATCTTCACTTCGCCCACTACAAGCTGGCCTTTGTGACGGGCTCAACTTTTCTATACATGCGAGCTTTGGGATTTGGTTCAAGAATTTGAGGCAGCTCCAGCTCCATCTAGAGGACCACTTGTGGGTGATTTCATGTCAAAACTCACACGATCAACTGGGGACAGGGAATTGGGGGCAGGGAACTGGGGGCATCAAACTGGGGACAGGGAACTGGGGACAAGGACTTGGGGGCAGGGAACTGGGGGCGGGGAAAGCTGCACCAGGGAATCACAAATGATCCGGGGCTTTCCAGACTACGTCGTGTTTGGCCAGTTTGAAATCTCCAAAACCGAAAAACAATTTCATGGCGGTGCCCTCTTGTGTTTCAAAAAGCCTGAAGCACTACTTTGCGTCGTCGAGAGAGTGTTTTGCTGCTGGCGCAGGTGGAACCATGGGCCGGAGGTCTGAAATGGGCGTGAAAACTGCCAACCAATTCTGTTCCCC